GCGGCAGCAGCAGCAGCGGCTGCAGCTGCAGCAACAAGTCGGGTAAGTGGTGGTTGCGGAGCATCTGCGCCGGCGGCCCGGCCCAGGGGGCGCGGCGGAGGGGGCCGGCCGGGGCTGGGAGGGAGGTCCCGTTCCCGCACCGTGGCCGGGAGTTGGGCTTCTCGACCCCACCTGCAGGAACTCGTGTGCTCACGGATCCACTTGGACACCAGGGGCTGGCAGGCTGGGAGGCGGGCACAGGGAGAGCCGGGACCCGGGAGGCTGGGTCCTCCTTGCCTGCCCGGCTTAGGCAGAGGAAATTAGGGCTTTTCTGCTAACCCCGTGGATGGGGATTTCCGCTGGGCCCTTAAAAGCTTGCCTAGTCCCGGAGTGCATGATTACCCATTTCTCCTGCAGAATGCCACCCTTTTCCCATTGCCCCCTAGAATCCTGACTGCCCCTTCCTTCACCTCTCGCCTGCATATTTCAGCGTTTGCATCCCATCCCAGAAAACTGGTGGTTAAACAGCCAGTGTGTAGCACAGGAAGAGGTTCCCTTCTCTGGGGACCATTTGCAACTCCGCACCTCTGCTTTTGAAGAGGTTGAGGGCCCAGTAACAACACTTTTCAGCCTAGACCTTTAGCTGAACTTCCTCTTTGGGGGGCCCAATGCTTCCTATGTTTAAGTAGAAATCATTCCTGGAGGAAATAGATATTGTGCTGCTTGCAGAATTAGGTTGCTAGCAGTCATCTGTTGCTAGGGCTCAGATAAGAAATTCCTGCAAGGAACTAAGAGCATCCAGTTATTCAAAGATGCCTTCCTGGTCCAAACATTGGCCATCTCGAGAGGTTGACTTTAATGTCTAGAGGTAGATCCTCAAAACAGGATCAGAGATAAGACACATCCACCCAGAACATCCTATTTTAATAAAGTCTTGGCCATGGCCCCACTTAGATCAAAAAGTATTTGACACTTTGGGTTCCCAAATTTTAGTAAATTGAGTATGGAGGGCCATTGCTCTTACGGAAACACTTTGATTTATGCCATCACAGCAATAATTAAAGGACAAAATTAAGGGCAAAAATCGCAAGTTGAACAATTTTCAGCTGATTGTGTGCTCAATGCCACAGTACCTCGTTTGAGTGATATCTCTCCTATTCTTGAGGGATTGGCTTTGACAATTCATGCTGACTTTTCCTCATTTTTTTCTATTTGTGTTTATCAGGCTGTGAGTAAAACAGGGCATGATTTTCAGTTAATGTACTAAATTCAGGAGGGCAGGAAATTTGAATCCACTTCTGGATCTGCCATTTTCCATCTGGCCTTGACTTAATTACTTTACCTCCTTGCTCCAGTTTTCTCATCTGTAAAAAGAGAATGTTACCCACCCTTTTCATCCTAGCCAGGAGTTGGCATACTTTTTCTGTAAAGTCCAGGTAGTACGTATTTTTGGCGTTGCAGGTCACAGTGCAAAAGCAGCGGTAGATGATACAGAAATGAGTGGATGTGACTCATTTGGCCCAATGAGTGAATTTGGCCCAAGGGTTATAGGTTTTAATTTTATAAGATACTAGAGGCCTGGTGCACAAAAATTCGTGCACTCTCGCAGTCCGGGAGCCCTCAGGGGGCCTAAGCTGCAGACTGGCCTCCCTCTGCAGGAGGCGACCGGCGGACAGATAGGGGGACAGCGCCAACCTGGTGAGCAGCTGGCCCTGTCCCCCCCATCACCGCTCTGCCGCCCCCGATCACCGTCTCCTCCCTCTGCCCGCTGGCACCCGCCTTGGCTGGCCTGGCACCGCCCGCTCGCCGGTCCCACCCCCCCGCCAACCAGTCGTTCCACCATTGGGTTGTTTTGCATACAGTATTAGGCTTTTATTATATAGGATTATATGCAAAGCTTATTTGAAACCAAAACCTCTGCCTCCAAGGAGATGAGCAACAACAGTCATTTCAGTAGCATTTTGCAAACAGACATGGTAACTCCCTGTTTTATTTTCCTCTGCCCAGGACTTTTAGAGTAATGCAACAGAAGGCCTTTGAAGAAAGCAGATACCCCTGGCAGGAGTCCTTTGAGAATGTTGCTGTGTGCTTGCCATTCCGCTGCCCGAGGTGCGGAGACCATACCCGATTTAGAAGCTTGTCATCATTAAAGGCCCATCTGGAATTCAGCCACAGCTACCAGGAAAGAACCCTCTTGACGAAATGCAGCCTCTTTCCGTCCCTCGAAGACACAGACCTAGTCACGTCCTCGGAACCCCTGAAACTGGGGAAATTGCAGAGCTGCGGCAACGTGGTGAAGCAGAAACCCAGCTATGTTAACTTGTACAGCATTGCACACGAGCACTGCAAGGACAGGAAGCCATTCGAGGTGGTGGCCGAGAGACCTGTGTCCTACGTGCAGACCTACAGTGCAGTGGATCTATGTGCCGACCCGCTGGATGGGCCGAGGGCCAGTCCCGGACTCCCCACCTCCGACACCAAAGCTGCTTTCGAGGCCCACGTCCGAGAAAAATTCAATCGGATGGTCGAGGCCGTGGACAGGACCATCGAGAAGAGGATCGACAAACTCACCAAAGAGCTGGCCCAGAAGACTGCAGAACTGCTGGAAGTCCGGGCGGCTTTTGTCCAGCTGACTCAGAAAAAGCAGGAAGTTCAGAGACGAGAGCGGGCCCTGAATAGACAGGTGGACGTGGCAGTGGAGATGATCGCGGGGCTGAGGCAACGCCTGACAGAATCGGAGGAGGAGCTTCTCAGGAAAGAAGAGTAAGTGGCGCTGGACCAGGATGCTCACCCCTTTGCTCCAGGCACCCACCCCCAGATGACAAGCCAGTGTTAAGCCAGGTTTGGCGCTTATTACTTGCAGGTGGTACCTTGGCTGCAGTTCTCATTGATGTAGTTGAATGTGGGGGGCACAAGGCTTTTAATATTATTTACCCTCCCTGTGTATGGTCAGCACCCTGTAAGTCAAAATACCTAATTTTTTTCTCACCTTGGAAACTGTAAAGTACAGATAATGTTTTTAAAGAGAGGTGTCTGGTTTCTGTGGTGGGTGTCTTTTCCCACGTTCAGCTCACTGGTGAGCGGGGGAGTTGAATGGGGGGCAGAAAGGTGGGCTCGGGAGCCTTCCTTCTTGACAGTCTCCATGTAATGAAGTCGAGAACATGAGATGCTGTCTCATTCGAGTGTGAAGTATGCTCTAAATACAAATACTTTTGGCTTCTTTGCCATTTTGGATTTTTCCGCCTACCGTAACTAAATGTTGGTTGATTGCCGAGAATCCATCCAATTACAATTTTTACTTGGAAGACGCAGACATTAGGAAACCCAGAGGGACCTGCGATATTGCTGTGCTTCTGTGATTTAAGTTGGAGAATTTTCTTTTTGTAAAAGGTTATGTCATACTAGAGTGAGTCACGCATGCCTGCTTGCAAAGAGTTGACACTGGTTTTCACAAGTTATGGGTGTTCAGATAAGCTACTACTTTAAAAGCCATCGTACTTAGAAAAGCATTTCCTTGTCAGTGTTATGGATTCAATACAAACTGAAAAAGTATACGTAACAATGCAGTGTATTTCCCTAAAGCAGCATGTTGGATTTAGTTATAAATGGAGTCTTGAAATTTATAGAATGAAAGGACATAAAAATTGATAAACTACAACATGCTGGAAGGGAGGTTTCTAAATTGAGTTCCATTATAAAGACTGACTTCATTTCATACTTTCTCTGCCCTGTGGCACTCTTCTTTATGTGGTGTCCCTTAAAATGGAGTAATTAAAGCTTCCTCCATTTGGTAAGAGGCTGAGAAACCCTGAATATTAAAGAGATCGTCCTTCACTGTCGCTAAACGCTTACATGCTACCTAGAGGGAAAGCCTGCTCTGCTCAACTAGACAATTCCCAAATATGTAGCGAGGGCAGAATTGAATCAGCCACTGATTTACTTTGATCTTAGGGAAATGATATCTAAGGAAAAATCTTTTTCTCTTGGATTCTGGTGTTTCCTGGTGGGAAGTTAGTGCCTTGACCCATTATGGCCACCCGGGTGACTAACATTACACAACTGGAAAAATAGCAGATGGGGTTCCCCTGTGTGCCGAGAAAAGCTTAGAATTAAATTTTGTGATATTTCTGTTTGATTTAAGAGCAGTACATTTAAAAGGTAAGCAAATTAATTGTTTGCATTTATTTATTTGTTGTATTTTATTTATTAAATCTCTAAGGAATAATGGATGTGGGATTTGGGGTGGTGGCAGACAGTTTGATGGTAGGGAGGATCATCTGGTTAGATCTAGTTATGGCCAAGGATCTAACTTTTATTTTGGTGGTGAGTCTAAGGAAGCTTTATTGTTAAATAGAACTGGTTATCTAGCTTTAGTAAAAGTGGGCCATGCATGGATCAATAATGATAATGTGTTATGGTTAATCCAATGCTGTCACCTGAAGACCAATTGAAAAACTAAAACATACTTGTAGGAAAATTAACATGTAGAACTGTATGTGTTAAAAGTCCTCCCTCCTCTCCAAGCATACATACCCCATAACCATATGGACTTTAAACATAAAGCTACTGTGTTTTTCCAAATGGAATCATGACACGAATTATCCTGCCACTTGTATGTGGAGTTTGTTTTTGTTTTAACATAGTATATTGTAGGCATCTTTTATGCACTAAATAGAATTATGTCATTCATCTTGATTACTGGGTGGTACTCCATGGTATAGATGCATCTTGGCTGATTTAATCAGTCTGCTGTTGATGAATGCATGGTTTTGTTCCTTTTTTTTTAGTATTAAAAATAGTGCCTTTGTTAATGTCCTTGTACATATATCTTTGTTCACATTTTTGTGAATATATCTGAGGGTAAAGTATGACATTTTTTTGGACTACCAGAAGAAAAAAAAAAGCAATGTGATCAAAGTAACCACTTTAAATGAAAATACAATGAAACTGCCTTAAACTTTTAAACATAAAATAACAAAGTCTTGATTTTCTTCAGCCTTCACTTGGCCTGTTCTATCAGTCTCTGTATTCAAGCCTCAAATAATCATTCTTTCTGCACATAAAATAGGACTGAACGAGTCTTGTTTCCAGGAAGGACAGTGGAGCCCTTGGTTTGAGAGATCGACGATGGCCCTTGCCCTCAGTGTCCACAGTGTCCAGCCCCCCTGCCACTACCACCCCCCAACCCTCTGAGATGGGGATGCAGCACAAGCCAGCTGCCCATCGGCCACACCATTGAAACCAGGTTGATTTGACTAGATCTGCCTGGCTGGGCTGGGCCATGCCCCTTCTCTCCTTACCACTTCCTCACAGAGCTGAGCCTTCCACCAAAGAGGTGACTTTTCAGATATGGGAAGCTGCTTGGCCAGGGAACCTACCAGGAACTGTGCTCCCCTGCAGATGAGCTCCCCCGGCCCATTTGTGGGAGAAGGTAGGGTTGTTACAGTACCACTCAAAATGGACTTTCACTCCAGGGACCCTTTGATACCCAGGTGGTAGATTTTTTTTTAAAGCAAACATCTAGTATTTAATATTCACTTGAGTTTCTCTTGCCTATCGATTTCCCCTCAACTTTAAAATTCTTTCTTTCAAACTGAAATAAAGGACTCTGAGGGCCGATTTTGCCCTGAGACCATCTTTAGCTAGAATGACCTCAGATTGTAGAAGATATATATATATATATATATATATATATATATATATATATATATATATATATATATATGCTTTGCAACAGAGAAGATTGTTTGAATTGGCAATATTTTGTACTTCTGTGCTGGTGAGTCTCATTGTACCTTTGTAGAGAGGTATCTCTATGTTTCTGGAGAGCAAATCCAAAAAAGAAATTTCTCATTGTCTTCACAAAGTCTGTGCAATTTTAAAAGTCCTTTGGAAACAGGTATTTACTTATTCAAGAGTATTCAGGGCTGTAGGGTAGCGCTGTCCGTAATCAGGTAAATCAATCCTGGCCAACCTTGCAGGAAGGTATCCTTTAACAAGAAATGGATGGCTGTGGGTAGTAGCTGATTCCTGGCCCAGCTGGTCACCTGGGGTTTGGAGAACATCAGTGTAATAACATTAATCCTTCTACTGGGAAGGCTGGAAAGTCCCACCTGACCACCTGGGATGTGCCTAGCACTCTGCTAGGTGTGTGTGGGGAACACAGACTTCTTGGTATTTTTCCATAAGGAACTTACACTCTACATAGGAAGAATCCATATATCCATGAACATGCCCATGTTCACACCCAGGGCATTGAACAAGTACTTCGACAAGTATTGGTTGCAAGTTGATAAAGAAATTAGAGGACAGATTTTTCTATTTAAGAGCCCACACTGAAGGAGTGAGGACAAAGGGCAGAATTTGCATTGGTAACCAGAGGACAGCGACATTGGAGAACAGCAGGGAGGTTAGAAATGACCCCTGAGGGGACTGTGTAACTTTAGTACTGGAAGGTACCCCGGTCTCCTTCAGGATAACACCCTCATTTTACAGGTGGGAAAGTAAGGCCCAGAGAAGTGTTGTGACTCATCCAAGGACAAAAAGTTAATATCAAAGCTGAAACTGGAACCCAAACTCCCTGTCTCTCTGCTGAGTGCTTTTTTCTGTTAATTCACTGTGTCTCAGCCAGACTTTTGAAACTGTGGTATTTGCCCAAAGCGTCAAGACTTAAGTAATACTGAATCGGGCCCATTTTGGAATGGATTTGCTCCTTTTCTATTTTGAGAGGGCTGCCAGATGACGTCATTTATTTTTCTGATGTGATTAAAGCAAATGTCAGCTGGCATCAGAGGTGTTGGGAAATTGGGAAATGGTCGTGTCATTAAGTCTGCTTATGGTATTAAGCTTCTGGAACACCAGCCCAGGGCTTTTAACTTCCAACAAGGGCTCTTAACTTGACGCTCTGCACGTCCATGCCCAGCCTGGGTGGAGCGTGCCACCAGCCTTTGATTGCGGTGAGGGGTCTCTTTGTAATTCCATCTCTTAATTTCCATCCTGATCCCTTGTGAGCTAGAATATAATCTTTTCCCTTCTTCCTATCTCATTTCCCCTGTTTCCCAGACTGGAGTTAGCGCAAGACAAATCTTTATTGAGTGTGTGCTGAGTGCCAGGTGCTGTTCTAGGATCTGGTAAGGCAAGTGGTAAAGCAAATGAGTCCGGTCCTGCTTTCATGGCAGGGACAGGCCACAAGGTGAAATAGACAGTAAAAAGGCCATCAGGGGTATGATAAAAGATACGGATAGGGGTAGCCTGACCCAGGTAACGTCCATTTGGATTTCTATCGAAAGCTGGCTGGGGAGCACTGGCCTTTAAAAGGCAAGTTTGATCTGGAAACTTGCTTTGCACAACTAAACCCTCTTGCCACTTAATTATGTCTTTCCCATTTTTGATGAGCCAAAGCAGTGAGTAAGCAACTTGTCTCCAGAGCTAGGAAGCAGGCCAAGGAAAATCATGTCAGATGTAGAGTTCAGTTGGACAGGGAGGGGTCGGTTCGTTCCACGTTTTAATGCGTTTATGTAAATGGGGGGTCCTCTTTTCCAGGCTCTGTTCCATGCAGACTTATAAACTATTGTACAAAAAACCAGTGTCAGACATGCCCTCAGCACGTGCCATCAGCCCTTGATTGCAGTGAGGGATGTCACATGATAAAATTTGGAGACCCAACAAATTTGTCTATTTTTCTTTCTCTCTCTTTCACACTTTCCCTCCTCTCCCCCAGCCCTACCCGACAGATTTTTGGCCTGAGGGACTTAGACTGTAAG